CATTTTCATTTTACATTGTGTTGCCAATATCTTCTGGTATTATTTATCTCATTACAAAATGCCTCAATGTGAATCACCTAGACTTGCTGGTTGAGTTTCATAAATCATAGTTCTGAAATAACTTCATAAAAAATTCAAAAGTCCCAAATCAGGTAACCTTGTAGGCCAATCCACTGGTCAAATGTCTACTATTCTCATATGAAAAGTATGTTTTTTCATGAGGATTTTTCAAACGTCTTTCTTATTATTGATCAACAATAGTTCAATGACAATTATTTACTGTGATACTGGGTGGATCAATACTCGAAAACAATTTTTTTTGACTCTTCTCACATTGCGTTGGTGAACTCCCCATTTTTTCAGAATATAGAGTGATATGGGTAGGTATATACAAGGCAGTCTCCCAGATATAACAAGATAAATGTCAAAAATATTCTATTTTTAGCAAAAATGTCAAAGTGTCTTGTCCGTCCCCGACCTTGCCAATACAAAAAGGAATTTTCTACAGCGGTGACAACTAATTTTCTGATCTTGTCATCAAAATATCACTGTTGATTCTACTTTCATTGTTATTGTTATTTCCAGGTTGAGTTGAAAAACAGCCTTGGCTGATATTCCGCCTACTCATCTTTATACTGAAAAGTTGTTTCCTCGTTTTTCGGCAGTATAGTCGAAGTAAACGAGATCAAAACGCCAAAAAAAACCAATACATAGAAATGAACCGGCAGTGAACTAGTCCATGTGGACTGCAGGCTCAGCGGTTCGTGTTGAATTATTTTTTCTAACCGAGTTTAATGATTGGCTGAAGAGTCATAAAATTAAATTTGAAGTCATGTTACAGTGACGAATAGAAATCGGGAATCCAGAGATGGTTATCGCCGTCATGTTCAGTTCAGGAACTGTTCGTGATTTGAGTGTTGAAGTTCGACATTAATACTTGAAATTTTTGTTATCTGTTTGAAATGTGGTGTCCTTGGACGACTGCTAATAGTAATAATGAGTGTAATAACAACGCAGACTTTTTCCAGTGTAGTGATTCCAATAGCGATGGTGAACAATGCGAAAAAGAGATACCTATGAATAAGATTCGGATGAATTATAAAATTGAAACACATAGAGTATATTTCAATGTATATAAGAATCTACATCTCAAGTTTGGTTTCGAGGGAGACAAACTATTACAAGCAGCATCAAATTTGACCGAAATTCCTTCCCTAATTGTACGTAAAATAGTTAAAAACCAACCTTATGCAAGCAAGAAGTGATGTAATACAGGATTACTAAAACCTGTCACAAAATCAATGAGATTTCTACAACTGAAGTCATTAGGAAGAAACTGAATACTACCGGCCATAACGTGAGCTGGTGTGACAATTGGATAAAGAAACTAGGATTTAGATTTAAAATAATAAACAAACGTCACGAAGTTATGGAAAACACAACAACGGTAAATTTTCTATTTGGACGGAACTTGGTATGATACTCACGACACAGTTACGAAAGGGTGAACTGAAGGTTCGAGAATGTGTACGCCTAACATGCCTGCAAACAAAGGATCGCGACTAATCATTGTGTATTGCGGAAGAAGTAAAGGACTGCAATGTTGACTTTAGATCTGATCAAGAACGTTTTGAGGAATGCTCCTTGAGCTACGAGCCCACCACAATGCAATCAGGGCATTTTGTGTCGACCAGGTGTGGGCTCGAAAATTAGAAGAGATACAATCTATCTGCGATTTGCCGTTGATGAAAGGGTATTGTCGGAAGAGATCTGACAAGAATGTGAGGCTAGTTACAGTATGGGCAATGGATCTTTACACATACGTCATCAACTTGTGCATACGAGAAAAGTCGACAAATTAATGAACAATAGAATAAACATTTATCGAGATATAGAGCTACAAAATCACATGACATTGAAACGAATTAAACTTTTGAAACAATCTATTGCATATTCAAATTGTGTACTATCCCAAAATGTAATTCTGTTATATTGCTATATAGATATATACCGGGTGTCCCACATTTTATGTGACAGGCAATATCTGGTTTGTTGAAGGAGATACACAAAAATGTTTCATACAAAAGTTTTAGGAGTTCATGAGAGCTATATNATCTCTCCACTTTTTATTTTTATTTTCTTTTTTCATTTCTTTATTTTCATTTATTCAATTGTTCTATTTTTACTTGTATTTTATTTCACTATTATTTCATTTCAGGTTTATTGTTGCTTAATATAATTGTTATTTTCAGCTATTCATTTTTAATTCTTCTTTTCTAGTTGTTTCAGGGATTTCAAATCATTTTATATAGTAGACAATGGAAGTCCGAACTAGTGAAATTCATCATGAAACATTGTCAATCACCTTCAAACAAATGCACTTTCCTATTTGAATATACAAATTGAAAGCAAAGAAAACACAACAAAATTATCACGTGACAATATCTAATTTTTGAAAAGAAATAATCGTGCAATTTACAGATAATGAAAGATTCCCCGAAATAATCTAACTCTCACAAAAACGCCCCAAACGAACTAGTGGAGAATGAAACAAAACTACCAATTGCTCTTAACGCGCTTCTTGTCACAGAGTACGGTGAAGCTACAGTGTCATTAGGAAAGTGAGGACCGGTACAGAAAGGGTTATTACGATATTAGTGGTATAGAGGATTGACTGGAGTAATGATTTCACTTGTTAAAAAAATGTTTTTCAGAAGAGAATTATTTTAATTTTTACAGAGTGATTCAGATTGAGTGTAAGCATTGTTATTATAATAACAATATTGATCATAGAAATGGACAATATACGAACGTGAACAATTTCGGAGAACATTCTTCTCACTGTTGTTTTGAATGAAGGGCAAACTGCAGAGTTTTTCCCACTAAACTACTACTACTACTACTGAAGAGTCCAATCATTCAGTAAATTGTCGTTTTGAAAATTGAAAAAAAATCTAATTAGCTTTCTTCAGTGGACCAGGTTTTGGGAAACAATCTTTTCACGTCTTCAAAACCCAAAATTCACTTGAAACTTTGGCCTCGAATTATACCTTTGCCTTGCTTTGACATAAGTCAAGAGAATGAAATGTCCAGATGTCAGATTCCACAGAGCTAATTTAAATACCCTTGTTACCTGATAAAAGAATGTATATGCGGATCCTTTGAGTCTACTTTTTTCATGAGTTTCTTTGGTGATAATTATGTTTCACTCTATTTTATGATCATCAGATGATTTTAGAATATGCTGCTCTATCCCCAATCCTGTTACCTGTCTTCTCTTGACTTGAGCTTTCACCAGTACAACTTATTTTATGTTTATATATGTATAATTATGTATAATTATAGTTACATGAATTAAAACGATTGTTGATAATTTTAATTCGGCGCTAGCGTCGAGCAGATTCTTGCAGAAGCTGAATTTTTAAATCTGGCAACATGATAGTCTAGCGATAGTAACACAATATTCCGTCCGACCGCAGCGCCGAATAAAAATTATCAACAATCAATTTAATTCATGTATCACCTAAAAGCAACAATCAAAACAATGTATTTTCACAAAATACTAATAGAAAGTAAAACGGCGTGCCAAACCGTTTTACTTTCTATTAGTATTGAATTATTTTGTTTGTTGAATTTCAGTGATACATGAATTAAATTGATTGTTGATAATTTTTATTCGGCGCCACGGTTGAACGGCGTTTTGTCGTACTATAACTAGCATGTTGCCATATGTAACACTTGAAGTTCTTGATAAATTCGCTCGATACCAGCGCCGAATTAAAATTATTATGCGGAATTGAAACGTTTATTGAATTTACTCGAATAATACATTCCATTGACTGTTGAATAAAAATGTTTGTTCATTGCTGAGTTGAACTATATTTATATAGATTATTTTTCAGCATAATATATAGTAAATTGGCGTTCCATTTTCCAATACTCTGAAACAATATTTTTCTTCGGAATCATTAAAAGCTTCAAGTTAGTCTTTTTTATTCAAATAACAACTTTTTTCTTGTAACATTTTAAATCAAGTGTTATTTGAAATAGAACAAATTTTGCGAACAATCATTTTTAATGTGTCAAATAAATGCATGAATCAATTAAATTCAAACAAATAAATTGTTAGGTGGATAAATTGAGGAATGAATATTTGTGACAATAAAAAGTAAAACGGCGTTCCATAGTATTACGTTAGTTGTGAGATATATATATATATATATATATATATATATATATATATATTGTTGTTGGGTCTGTGATAAATATGTTGTGTATTGCTTTTACCAACTTCACACCGAAACTGCTCCGGATATGAGTTTTGCTTCAACACCATTTTAATGATAGGTATTTCCTCTTAAATATTGAACGAAAGTTATTTTTTGTGGAGGAAAATCAGTTTTTTATCGACCTTTTTTGGGTATTTTCACCTTCCACAATCTTAACATTTCGGAGGCAAAATCTGCCTCCGTCTTCAGAAATGGACAAAAAAATTCAAAGATTTTTGCAATTATTCCTTTTCTGATTATTAATTTCTCAACTTCTTCGACATTTCAAAACTCCTTTGATATCTCTCGATATCAAATCGTGTTAGGAATCACACGTTAAAAGATAAGACCTCGTTAGGCTGCTGACCCTTTGAAAAGGAGGGTGCTACAAGTAGCTTCATCGGACCAGCACCTGTCATTGGTATCGCTTTAGGCTTTGCCAAACAAAGATTGAACATCTGGATGGCAAGAAGATTTATGGACTTCTGGCAAAATCTTTCTGGATTGGCTCCATGGCGTTTATTCACCCTTCGAAGCTTGGTACCAAACAGTTGGTGGACTACAGTAGGGATGAACTACCTTCTTACAGGTCACTGTCATTTGAATCATCTTATGGAGAGACTTGGACTGTCGAAGGACAGTGTGTGTCGCCTAACCTAACCTAACCTAACCTAATCCTCCTATGGTTATTGACTGTTTATAATAGTTAAACACATGCTTTTTTTGTTTCAGCTAGTAGAGAAACAGCTTTTGCTCTCGCATTGGCAGCAGCTGGTGTCGTACATTCCGTTGCAAGAGCTTGCCGAGACGGGCAACTAACGTCGTGTGGGTGTTCCAGGATGGGTCGGCCGAAAGACCTCAAAAGAGACTGGGTATGGGGCGGATGTGGGGACAACTTGGAGTATGGATACAAGTGAGTAAATCAACGTGAAATGTTCTGTATCTAGTAATTAGATTTGTGTTAATGAACGGTTGATGTTTTTAAAGATGTCGAAGTTGAGAGTTTTTGAAGGAATTGGAACAATAGTTTCAAGGAAAGAAGCTCAATATAATATGAATTGACTTGTAATTCTTGCCCAAAACGTCATATTGGTCAAAAGTTTTTTTCCCAAAACCTAATTTCTCCCCAAAATATACCCCTTTCAATTGAAACAATATGTATTTGAATAACACTGGCCACTGAGTTGAAGCAGTCATGATAAATCTTCATATTAGAAAGTTGAGGAAATGGTGAAAGAAGTTATGACCTCTGTTAACACCTTTTGGAATGTACGAGCACATATCTTCTTTCTTAGACTCGGGGGGCTGCTTGGTTGAGTCGGAATCTTCAATTCTAATCCGATTATTGAACTCCAATGAATGGTAACCTCAGCTTGAATGTTAATGACTCGAATGAATCAGTATCCCTTGCATTTTTATGCTACAGTAGTAGAATGTCACTTCGAGCATTTATCCCTTTGCATTTCGTTATGAACTTCCCCCTAAAATTTGAAGCTGTAAACCGATTTTAATAATTTTTTTCTCATTTCAAGTACTAGAAGGTCTACCTTGGGACAAAATTTGAAATGTTTATAAAAGTTTCAGGGCATATTACGATATTTTTTCTTAGTTGAAAATCGCGATTTTTTATCAGCGATATTTTTATTGAAAAAATCACTACGCCACTGGATTCAGAGTGCCTCTTAACAGGTGTGACCGAAATTTCATGAAAAAATATTCATTATTAACAAAGTTATGACAACTCAACTAACATTCACAAAAAACACCCTATATTAACGGATATAGCCACGAGAATATTTTTTTATGATTTCAACAATAAAGTGCCGCCAGATGAAAAAAAAACAAATAACGTGAATATTTTTAATGAAAATAACGGAATTACATTCAAGTTTTCACGCAAATTAACTAAAACTAAGACCTAATATTTCAATTTAAATCTTAGTTGCAATGGAAATGATATTACAGTTTGACACTTGTGAAAGATTAAGTGTACTATTGTCAACAATATTCACCTTACAGTTCTTCGAATTATTTTGTGTCATGGCTGCAAGATTGAGCGTAAGAGAGAAAATTGAAATTGTACGCCTTTCGGGAGATGACGTTAGAAGTGCTAGAGAGGTTTGTAGAGTATTTAATGAGAGACATCCAGATCGTCCTCGTATTAGCTGCGGTACGGTAAATAAAATAAATAAAATATTCAATGAAACTGGTGCAGTATCAAAAATGATGTTAAAAAGTAATCCTGTACAAAGACGAAACAGGAATAACAGGAATGATCAAATCATTTTAGATTATTTCGAAATAATCCTAATGCCAGTATAAGGAATGCCACTTTAGATTTGAATATTCCACGAGAAACTACTCGGAGATGTCTCAAGGCGAAGAATATTAAACCTTTCAAGCCAAAATTTTTACACACACTTCAAGAAGGCGACGAAGCAAGACGCCTGGAATATTGTTTATGGGCCCAAGGGGAATATTTAAACAATAGAAATTTCCTAAAAAATATTTTATATACCGACGGAGCCACTTTCACTACAAATGGAGTAGTGTCATCACATAATTGTTGCTATTGGGCAGCGGATGATTCTAACTGGGTAATAAACTGTAAAAGCCAGTATTCCCAAAAAATCAACATCTGATGTGGGATATTGAATGAACGAATTATTGGTCCTTCCTTTTTTGAGAAAAACATTGATGCGCAGAGGTTTCTAGAATTTTTAAACACAGAGTTTTGGGATGCGAGCTGCCAATCAATGATCGATCAAATTCAATTGTCCAGTTAGATGTGTGTTCAGTTCATTATGCCAGAGCTGTGAGGCAATGGCTTAACGAACATTTTCCAAAGCGATGGATAGGCCGTGGTAGTCCGTTTATAGAGTGGCCACCCAGATCTCCAGACCTCACAGTTTTGGACATTTTCTCTGGGGACTTCTCACACAAAAGGTTTACAAAAACCGCTCAAGAGATAGAAATGAACTTTGTGCAAGAATTCGACAGGTATGTGCAGATATTAGCCCTCAAGAACTACGGAACGTAATCAGAAATACGTGGTGGATTAGTAGAGGCTATTAGAATATGAGTTATAATTAATTGTTGCACCGAATCGAAACATTTCAATAACAAATAAGATTTGAAATCGAATAACTTTCGTGTATGAAATGTTTTAACACTATGATGTGATTTTAACACGGGTTTATTGGATCCTCATTAAGTGGGTCACATCAAATTATTGGTTACCGGTTTTCTCTCGATAAATGTCAGTGTCAAATGATTCATCATTATCTGGATAGAGTATTTCGCAATCACTTCCTGGTTCTAAAGTTCAAATTTTATAATTTTGTATTCGATATTGCTGAAATCTCTATTGAAACTTCTTTATTTGTTAGCAAGAAGCTTTTCTAGAACGAAAGAATAAAATCCTATGCTGACTAGTCGTTTCCCAGTGAAGCTCAGCAAATCAGTTTTGCGGCATCAATTCAGATATGAATCAAGTCGAATCACACGGCAGATAAGTTTTCTCGATTTGTTCCGGATGGAACGACCCCTATCATAAACGTCACAACCACCCCAACCGATCCGTCTTTTCTACCGGAACAAATCAGTAATCTGTGGGATAGATGATTGTGTTTGAAATATGGGATTGACGACGCTAGCAATCCATAATATTCAATTCCCTACTGTGTTACCATATCTTTAGCTATCGGTCTCTTCCGCTCAGCATTTGTTTGCTATGATACGAGTATATACCTAAATAGAAAAAAATATCCTCACCCCCATTGATATGAAAAAATGATACACAGTTGTTTTAGGAACCGTTTGTTGAGACAATTTTTTTTGTGCGAATATGATCGTTGCCACAATAATCAATCCCTGATGATGTCAACTTGTTTGGCTAAACCGGAAACATGATATGAGAGCTGAGAATATTCACTCTGGATATCTGAGAATGTCCACATCGGACTGATGCAAATGCAGAAACAAAACATCTGGATTTATCGACACAGAACTGTGTAATATATTCTCAAGGAACTGTTCAAATTGTCCTGACAGACGTTGACGAAAAATTTCGCACAAAATAGCTGGATACTAATTGCGTCTGCAGAAAACATCTAGAGTTATCTGCATAGAACTTATTCATACAGTGTGTTAAACTCAAATGGCATCAATTCATTATTTTGGTTACGGTAAATATTACAACAAAATCCCGAAACACGTCAAATTTGAATTATAATTTGACATACTTTAACGGAAAAATGCTACCTCTACCCTCAACCGCCGTCGAATGACAGGTAAAACCCCTGATTTTTAAAATGGGAAGTATAGACTTGTGATATATCGTTTGAAATGTCTCTTCATAATCTATTAAAAAATGTTATCGCTTTCGAATTTATTGCAACAATTAAGATAAAATAAATTAAAACCATGTGGTTACCGGAATTCGATAAAATACACTCAAAACTTATTTCATGTTGAGGTATTGATAATAAAAAAGTAAGCAAAACCATAGCAATGTTCTTTTCAGATGGTATCCTTTAAAAAACTGTAAATAGCTTTCCCTTGTCAATTCGTTTTTTATGTTAAAACATTAGTTGTCAACATTTTATTTTAATTTAAAGTTCGTTAACTTCAAGTCTGATAAATGGTTAGACTAACGGAAATGCATGAAACAATAGTTTTACAAATGATTGGTTACGGAGATAAAACAGGAAGTAGCTCCTGAAAAAGTTCCTGAAAAAGTAACCCAAAAGAGTCACCAAACGGCATTTTACCATCTAAATCGAAAATCCCCAAAAAGTAGTGTAAAATCAATTGAAGAAAATACTGGAACCTAAAAATATATCATCTTTTGTTCAGTCAGGATTCCACTCTGACTATAGTACAACAACTGCCTTAGCTAAAGCTAACTAATGATATATTTAATTCATGAGATTAAAAACAGTGCAATATTTTGATTCTCCTAGATTTTAGCTAAACATTTGAGACCGTCTATCATGAACTCTTGTTTGCAAAGTTGGAGTATTATGGTCTGGGAGAATGTTTTTTACGTTTCATCCAAAGCTACCTGTCCAGTCGGAGTCAACAAACTATAAGTGATGGAAATATTTTTAATTGTAAACTTCAACTCAAGGGGTGCCTCAAGGTAGCAAATTATGTTCACCATTATTTTCTTTGTATACTCTCTCTTCCAAATATCTGGAGTTTTGTAGCATTGACCAATATGCGGATGATACACAACTATATTAGCAACTGTGACAGGGTCACATAGGCGACTCGTTCAATGAATTCAAATGGTTTACTTCACAAAAAAGATTTATGATTCATGTGTTTTTCAAAGTGAACTAAGAGAAGAGTTGATATCGTCCAAACATGTGCTTCTACATATAAAGACAATAAAAAAAAGCATATTTTTTATTTTGAATTTTGCATTCATCTTTTTGTTCGACTCACACATCTGTCATTCAGTGTGGAAAAATGGGCTTTGAATCAACTCGTAATTCGTACGTACACCCCTGGTTCAACACGACTGGCACAGTTATCATTCTTAACCAGGAATAAATAGGAGTGTTGGACGCCATTAATTTACCAGGATTTATGTAAAAATGTTTCAGATGTGATAGCGATGATTGACAGTTTAATTTCAAAAGCAGACAAAAACATCAAAGCCGGCCGTATATTATTTTAAGAAAAACGAAGTCCAATGAATCAAATGCCTAGCCGTCTGCACAGATGTTTGGAATAGTACACCTGGTGATCGCTATTAACTACGAATATAAATCACTTTCTTTCGCCGCTCAGTGTACGGGGTAAATCAGCAGTGTTGATTTTAATATTAGATAAGATTGGATGTAATTCATACTTGTGGGATTGTGTTTTAACTTTGGGGTATATATATATCTGAGAGATAATAAATTATAAGTAGAGAGTTGGTGGATGGATATATTTGGTGAAATTTTTCATTTTAAGGTTGAAGTTAAGAGAAATAGTCAACAATTAAAGGTTATTCTTTGACAAAAGTGATATGAAATTAAATAAAACCTCCTGTGCTTATGATTGCACACTTTGGTGTAGTAATGAATATTACTGGAGTTCTTTCCCAACACTAAATCGTTATTTTTAACATCTCGACACGTGTTTCGATCACCAAGTGATCATCTTCAGGAGGACAATTAAACTGCGAGTTTAATTTTATATTGTGAAAGGTATTTTCCGGTTTTTACCGGGGTCTGCAAGTGTCATGCCTGTCGTTTCGTCTACTACTGCGGCAGACCTTAGTGGGCCTTAGAAAACTTCCACTCCTCCATGTGAAACTTCTAACGGAAGCCTGATGTGGCACACACTCTATATCATATTATTACATTGTAAAAAAATCCATATTGAAAAAAACATTGAAATTCATATATTTGAAAAGAGTACAGTTTTATTGGCGGTAGTAATGAGAATAATTCCTGAAGGAATATTTGAACAATCTTTTGTTTTGTTGTTGCAGGTTCGCACAAAGCTTTGTTGACGTTAGAGAAAGAGAAAGGAAGTTCAAAAGAGGCACTAGAGAACAAGGCAGGGTACTTATGAATTTGCATAACAACGAAGCAGGAAGAAGGGTGAGTACTTTCCATCATCATTCCGTAATACAAGTGCATCAAAATACTTCTAACAATTTTTTTACATGATGAATTTTATGTCAGTAACTAACGAAACAAAAAACCAGCTTGCTGAAGTTTTGAAATTTCTTTTTGGATGATTTGATGTCTTTCAACAACAAGAATACTAACCACTATTATTTTTGTACAGTCCACAACGTAAGATAATATTTTGACAGGGTGAAAGCACTGAATATCTGGAAATCTCTCGAATCATTATTATCCTTCTGAAAAATCTGTCTTCCTGAAAAAGACAGTAATAATTTTGATGATAATGATAGTTGCACAAAGAAAAACTTTGTTTGAGAAACGAAAACCGAAGCTTTTCTGACATAGTTGAAAGGAAAATACGTCGAAAAGAAGAAAATCATAACAAATCGTACTGAAGATTTTCTCACAGTAAATATCTGTAAGCAATTCCTCATTCAGGATAAAAATGTCAGAAACTTATGCTGAACCACAATTATTTTGAATTTTAGTAAATATAAAAAAAATCATTCTGGGCTCCAACAATTTTATTCTTTATCTCGGCGAACTTCAATTTATTTTATCGAAAAAAAGCTTCGGTAAAAATTGTAGGTATAGTACAATTCCAGAAATACTATTACATTTAAACGAAAACATCGTTGTCAAAGTTGTGATTCTATCTATTCTATCATCATTTTTCCTCATCTGTTTAGTATAATTTCCCAACGCCACTGCAAGAAGCAGATAAAGGCAAAAACGTCAGTCATTTCTGAGAGTTCAGTGCCTACTATTCAGCAATTATAGTACAAGTATGTTTTCAAAATAAGTATTTTATTTGATTTTTGTCCTACATGAAATTTTATAACATCCTTCGGCTATCCAAACCTGTTCGACGACCGGAGAGGAATCTTCGGTTTACTAACCGTGGGCAGTTCGTCAAGAAAAGTGGTTTACCGAACGCAAATAATGGCTTTATCAATAGCTGACAAATTATGCGGCGTGTGTATAGACTCACAGCCATAATCCTTGCCTCAAGAGGAATGCAGAATGCAAATACTGCAGATGATTCTTGTATAAGTCATGGATAATATGGTGGAAAATATGTTGGTCAAACATACCCATGTATCTGAAATAGATTTGAAAATCACATTTCACTTATCATACCATACATGTCAGAATAAAAATGACTCGTATGTATATGGTTTTGAGCAATGACATACCCCTATACCAATGATTGACTAAGATGAATTTTGGTATTGAAGACACCATCCTGGAACGACATAACGATTGTTGCTGTGAACCAACATCATAATATAACACAGAAGTGAAATTAAGTTTTCTGACATTCAGGCCAGCATAATCGCTGAACGAACTTAGGGTATAAATTCCCATGAATCAGTTTTTGAGTATTTTCATCGACTTGGTGTAGGCTCCTCCCAAATTTACTCACCTACTTCAGAGCAAAGATCGGAAAGGCAAGCATATTCCTAGCAGCTGCCCTTCCACCTTTCCATAGTTCTACTTGTATCTTCGGTGTTCATAAAAAAGTTATCGAATGTTTCCGTATATGCATCTTCTTTTTTTTCACATTTTCCACAAGTCTTTACCGACAGTGCCACTCTTGGGAACTGATGAATTTTCTTTCCCTTGTGGTTCAAAGTTTGAGAGTAGTAGATAATGAGTACTTGGTGGATACTTTGGGGTAGAGGGAATGTTTGCTTTCAGTGTCGTTGACAAAACGTCTAGAAAACTGTCAATGAGCTTTTTGACGTTTCATTGAAGCTTTTTTAAGGTTCTTGACGTTTTTATAGGAGTTTCTTTGAAATTTCCAAGCAAAACATAGTAGACGTTATTGAACGTTTCGTTGACGCTTTTTGAAGGTCCTTAGATGCTTCTTGACATTTTCTAGATTCTTTTTGAAGGTTCCAAGATGCTTTTTGATGGTTTCCATATTTTTTCTGGTGGCTGGATATTCTGAGCGATGCGCTGTTGCTAATAAATTTTTTGAGATTTTGGAGCTTTTTGAAGTTTTCCAGAGGCTTCGCTAATAACGCTGACAGCTGACACTGCTGCACTCCAAAGTTTCTCTGGGAGTATTATTTCAGGTTAGGTTAGGTAGGTCAAACTCGACCTACCTAACCTAACCTGAAACCCAGCTTCTTGACAAAGTCTATTAGTTTATATGGTAAGTGATGTTTTAGGTCAGTTGGTAGAAGCGCGGTTCTACCAAACTCTGAAAACCTGAATTGGTCCGCAGCAGGGTAAGCACAAAGTATATGCTCTGCTGTTTCGTTATTTTCCAAACAGACACACACTGTCTTTTGACAGTCCAAGTCTTTACATATGATGATTCAGAGAAGAGTGACCTGTAAGGAGGCCTGTTAGACATCGTAGTTCATCCCTAATGTAGTCCAACAACTGTTTGGTATCAAGTTTCGAAGGGTGAATAAACGCCTAGGAGTGAGCCATTCCTAGTAGATTTTGCCAGAAGTCTTTAAATCTTGCCATCCAGGTGTTCAATGTTTGTTTGGCAAAACCTAAAGCAAAGCCAATGGACAGATTCTGGTCTGATGAGGCTACTTGCAGCACCATCATTACAAGGGAGTCAGCAGCCTCATTGCCAATTTGTTAAGTATTTCTATAGAGGAGAGTCGGTTGTGGCAATTTGCTACCAACTTAGACGTTACTCGGTAGGAGCCAAGAGTTTCCAAGCCGCTTAACTGCGAGAAGGAAAGTCAATGGCCGATGCACTAGAAAATTCAGCCCAGCACGTTTGTGCTGTCCACAGTAATCATAGGGGAGCCCAAGCAGGGATTTCAGGATTTACTAAAGCGCGGCAGATTGATATACAGGGGGATACCTTGTACTCGGTTAAGTATCTCCACCAAATATGAGCCTCATATATAAGGCCGCCCGTGAAGGATAAAGGATCAGATTAGTAAAAAAAAATTGATCATCCTCTAGATAATCGTCAGATTATGATACAGCACGTCTAGAACATAAAGATGAACCATATATGTCTCAATCTGACGCGCTTGAGTATTTCGAATTGGCGAATTTTTTTTGCACATTATAATGATGGCCGCGAGTTTGCGTGAGATCGAAATCGTCAGATTATCGAATATGAGGTTTTTTTGGGTGCACTCAATACTCTCTTTGAAAATCTGACGCACTCGATTGATTTTTTTTTCTTTTCACTTTAAACTCTTACGTACAACCACCCGCATCATGCAAACGATCAGATTAACATACGAACATTATTAAAAATACGTGGGACATTGATGCTATCAATATCTGACGCGCTCGAGTATGTCTATGCAACAGTATTATTTTACATATTTAAAAATCTATAGCCGCTTCCCCCACCGATGGAAAGGTATATATTATATAACATTTCTTCTTATCATCTAAGCTTTGCAACCTAATATGTCTCTATGACGCTCTAGTAAATCCCCATTTTGCATCGTGGGCTCCCCTACTATAATGTGAACTGTGGGGAATATACCTGTACTTGCTTGTTTTCTTTCTAAATACATCGTTTTCTAGTCCTCCATATTGGTTTCTCATTACCAAAACGTCAATTATCACTTGATCTACCAAAGCCATATTTACATGAATACAAATAATTTATAGACACAAAATTAGTTATCAATATATTAATCATGACCTTTTCAATAATTTTTGACGAAACTTTTGAATCAAACTCCGGGTTGATTTTCGAATGTGGTAGCATAATTTCATTCACCTGATAGTTACAATACAAGTCTTTGTGGTATTAAACCAAGAACCACAAATCTACTTTCAACTACTCGTCGAATATGCATGATTTGTACAGATCTCACGAGTACAACCTTTGTCTGAAGAAATCTTCGCAATTTACCATGAGAGGCAGGTGCACTCGTGTAATAGCTGCTTGCTCAATTACAATCGAAAGTAAATAATCTCTTCGATAAATTAAAGCATTCACTGAACTTGTAAGATGTCAGATAAATTCCGACCAGAATGCAGTTTCTGATTTTCTTTACCGCAATAATAATGACTATCGGCTCAGAGATGCAATCCAACGATTCCAAGTAATTTTTAATTCGAATATTGTTTATTTCCATTCGGCAGAAATGAGAAGATAAGTTCTTCGAGAAGTTTGAGTTATGCTAAAAGAATCTTTGGTTGCCTTGAGACAATCTGCAATCCCTGCAGGATCTTCAGTTACTCTCAGTTAGTGAAGAAATGTTAAAACACCTGTAGAGACAGGTAAATATTTATAGATGGATCCCATCAGCTCACAAAGAAAAATATGAAGATGCTGAAGTTGATGCTAGTGGCTATGTTTTGTGTGTTACACGAAAGAAAAGAAAGTACTCTTGGAATTGTGCAAAAAGCCAATGATATATCTGTTCAATTTGTTTACCTTCACTCGTTTTGAAAACAGTCTTCATGAATGTGGTAGATTTTGTTGTTTTACGTTTCAGAAGATGTTATTATATCTATACTGGTTTGATGAGTACGATTAAAAACATCAACGTCGGTTTTGGATTTGCTTAGATTCCTTCAAGTTCGATGCTGTACTAACATACGAGGGTAGTTTCTGAAGTACCCGGCCTGCCCTAGAGATGGCGGTAGTTGTTTGAAAAATAACACGGTATTAGAAGGTACAGAATCTATACTTATACAAATAATATCCAAAACGGGATTGAAACGTGTACCAAAAAGTTCTGGAAATATGTAACTTCATGTAAAAATGATGTAGGTATCCCTAACAAAGCTACAGCTACAACGATACGTTTGCTGAAAATGGTGAAAGTATATGCGACCTATTTGCTACATATTTTCCTATTCAGTTCAGCAATAATAATCTGTTAAATTCAATAGAGTTCACTCCAGAAATCATATTAGAGAAAATAAAGTCACTCGATGTAAATAAGGGTGCTAGGATCGATGGTTACCCTACATATTTTGTTAAAAACTGTGCTTCTGGTCTATGCTGTGCCTTGAGCATCTTATTCAACATATCTATGCAGTCTGGTGCTTTCCTAGAGGTATGGAAAACTGCTCTACTAGTCCCGATCTATATAAACTCTGGTAATAGAAACTCAGTAATAAATTATCGAGGTATCAGTAAACTGTCCATGTTCAGCAAATTGTTCGAAAGCATCGTTTATGACTCTATGTTTCACTATATCAAGTCATCAATCATAGAATGCCAGCATGGTTTTTTCTCCAAGAGGGCCATAGAAACAAAAATTATTAATATATGCCGACTATATTTCAACTGCATTAGACAATCGAGCACAGGTGGACTCACTGTTTACTGACTTCAGTAAGGCATNGGCATAGGCTGGTTGAATGAGTTTCTGGTGTGTTTTCCAAACCTCATATGGGAATCAAATAAAACTCCAACATTTCTGGCTCCATCAACAACATGAAGTTCATCTGCATTTATGTGATTTCCAACTGAACTGATGATTTTACTACTATTCATTTTTGTCCGAAAATGATAACTTTAGATTTTCCTGTGTTAATAAAAGGGAGTGAATAAGTTGCTAGTTCAATAAAGTGTCTAATATCAGAGTCTTTGATTCCGCAGGCTTCTTTGACATCTTCTGGATAAAAACTGTGATAAAATTGAGTGTCGTCCGCATAAAGATGTACATTACAGGTTTCAAGTTTTCTTAGCAAGGTTGACGAGTAAATAGTGACGAGCAATGGACCCAAAACTAATCCTTGTGGTACTCCTGCCTTTAGTTCCAGATTATTCCAAACGTGCTGCTTTCTACCTTCCAGATAATTACCAATAAGTTTGACAGCTTTAACAGATATCCCCATATAATGTAATCTATTTAGTAGGAGTTTATGATTCAAGGTATTGAATGCTCTGCTGAAATCGAGGAGAACCAATATCGTGCACTTACCATTGGCACCAATGAGTTTCTCTCAAGATATTCCCTTAACTGTAATTTCATTGCTTTTTCTAAAACTTTTGATAATGTTGGCAAAATACTGATTCCACGCAAGTCTCTAAACTCAGAAATATTACTTTTTTTCGGCAAAAACCTTAACCACTACACTCTTCCACATAGAGGGATAAACGTTTTCAGAAAGACAGATATTTATTATATGGATTATATGAGTTATTATATGAGAGCAGCATAATTTAATTGATCACAGTCCCAGAGCATTTGTACTGATCTCACAAATAGTTGTGTAAACAAATACGTCATTACCTTCTAGAAACTCAAAATTTGAATCGTTTAATCGGTTTTCCTTATAGAAGTCTAAAAGTGCATCTGAAGGTTCAGAAAACGAGAAAGTATTCACCAAAAATCATTAATTTTTTCTGGATCATTCAGATGTTCAGGAATATCTGTCGATATTACATTAACGATTTTGTTGTATTTCAGTGATTTCCAGAGCTCTTTTCTACTAAAATTTTTGAACTTATACCAGGGGAGATTATGAAAATAGATACATCCTTTTCCAAGATTTTTGTGTTTCCTTTGTTGGGCTGGGAACTTCTGGGACCAGCTACTTATGAACAATAACACATTTTTTATGTAAGGTTGTTTCAAAACTACAAAAACACATGTCATTGAAACAGAAACAACTTATGAAGCAACCTAATCATTTGAACAGAATTTTCAGAAAACGAACTGTTAGCATTCACAACCCCCCTAATCCAAATCCCTTTTCAATAAGGTATACTCGAATCCCATTCCTACTCGAAAAAAATTTGATTTTTCCAAGAAGTTCCTTCCATGACAGCTCTGCACCACGCTAGCCACTTAACAGTACACAACCTTCTCATTCATTTTTGTTTCAAAAATATACTTGATGTTCACATTTTGTTCACTGTCTCTCTTCAACGAAACGCAATCCAATTGCAATCTTTTTTCAGGCGGTCATAAAGAAGGCGAAAGTGACCTGTAAATGCCACGGTGTCTCAGGATCCTGCTCTTTGATAACTTGCTGGCAACAACTGGCGACCTTCAGAGAAGTCGGTAAGTACTTTAAGACGATAAATTTTTAATGGGTATTTCGTCCTTAGTACGCATCTCAACAAGTAATTGGGAACGAGCTTTATCTGGTTAGAATTATCCTTCGATCTAATGGAACACGTCGATAAAGCGTACGAACTCGCTTTGTTTCATTTCACCAATCAAGTTAGAGAGAAAGAAATAGTGGCAAATGAATAAACAGTAAAATAAAACGTCGAGAGCAGGTACAGGGACTTCAATAACGAGAAAAATATCGATACTATAAAAATTTTATAGATTATTTATTATTTNCCCTGACGTTTTTTCTGCAACTGCGGAGGCAATATCAATGGCCGTAGTTATCTACCGTACTGACATAAGCAAACTGATGAAAGTTCAATTGTTTTCGTAACTTCTCTGTCCACTGTTCTTGAATTATGGTAGAATATGTGTGTTCTGTGTCTTTTGTCGATGGTTTTATCTAGCGTTCGTTCAAAAGCTACAAAAATCCAAACTTCATCATGAAGTCGGCGCAATATTCCACTAGCTATGTTGGTCAATTTGCTGAATACAAATGTATCTTGGCATGACCACGTTATTGGAATATCTTAGTTAGCTTCTAGAAAACTTGCCACACAGTTTAGAACTAAAAAGTTGTATACAGTCTTCAACCTGCAGCGAGGAGAAAGTTAGTTCTCCAGCTATTGAGCTGAGTTTACAGAGAAGATGAACTGGATCAAGTGACACAAACTGTCCCCCCGTAACATCGAATGAGGACCAGGAGCTTCCCAGTGCTCCAACTCTTGAGCGAACCTAGATGGTCCCCACTACATCGAGAAAAATGTACCACGGCCTGAAACCTTGATGGAGATCGTGAGGAAATGCTAATTCCGATAGCAAAGCATGAAAGATCACCTTTTTGATTCTCCAGCTTCCGAAATGAGTTCACAAAGATGACCCAAACCTCAGAAGTTCTGTCTAGATTGAGAAAAATTTACCACGGTCTGAAACCTTGAAGGAGATTTTTTCCTCCACCAGAAAATTCAAGCCCTGATGGCAATCATAAAGTCAGGGCAAGATTCCACTAGCTTTGTCGGTCAATTTGTTGTATAAATGACATGATCATGTTACTGGCATATCTGAGTCCCCTTCTGGGAAACTTGCAATACTGTTTGGAACTAAAAAATTGTATATACCTCAGTCTTCAACTTGCAGCAGGGGAAAGCTAGTTCTCCAGCTTTTGAGCTGAGTTTACAAAGTAGATGGAGTAGATGAAACCACCCAAACTGCCCCCTCATAACATCGGATGAGAAATGAGATCTTAAAGTTTTCCAACTCTTGAGCGAACCTAGAAGGTCTCCACTACATCGAGGAAAAAACGCGGCTTTCAACCTCGAAGGAGATCATTATTCACGGGGAAATGCTAGCAATGAACACATTTGCAGCATCTGGCAGAGAAATCATTCTTCACGAGGAAATGCAGGTATGTACAGGAACATATTTGCAGCATCTGGAAGAGTTTTGTTCTTGGCAGCTGACCTAAAAGATGACTCATCAAACTGAAGTAATTTGCTCCTTGATTCTCCAGCTTCTGACCTGAGTTCACAGAGAAGATTGAGGTTGGTCATACCATCCAAACTGTTTTCCATGTAACATCAGACCAAGAAAGGAAGATTTCCAATTCTCCATCTCTTGAACAAACCTAGAAGGTTTCCACTACATTGAGGTAAATGTACCACAGCCTAAAACCTTGAACGAGAATGGTACACGTTTGCAGCATTTGGCAGTCTCAATCTTGCCAGCTGACCTGAAAGATAACTCGTCGAATGTAGTGATTTTCTTCTTAATTCTCCAGCTTTTGAGCTAAGTTCACAGAAGAAATGGAGGTTGATCAAAAGACCAAGAGAGGAAGCTCCGCGGTTCTCCATCTTTTGAACAAACCTAGGAACTTTCCACTACATTGAGGAAAATGTACCACAGCCTGAAACCTCGAAGGAGTATAACCTTCACGAGACAATGCAAGCCCCGATAGCAGAGCATGTACAGGAACACATTTGCAGCATTTGGCAGAGTCAGCCAGGTCAGCTGGCAAGAGTGAGACGAATGAAGTAATTGGCTTCATTAAGAAGCTGGATTTGTTTGGTCTAGTACTTGTAACTCAATAACTTTTGATAGGTACTCAAAAAAATACCTTCTCTGGCATATTGCTCACATTTATGGGTCTTCGTCTCTGATGTTGTTAGATTCTCTTCAGGAAAGAGTTACCCTTCTCGTAAATATTTTCGTGGGCAGTGTTCGATTGACTTAGCCCCATTGATTCCACCAAGAACTAAGTTTACGACAAAAGTATACGGCAAACTATAGCTGCTTTCGTTTCGGGGTTGAACTCATTACACCTCGAACTATATTGTTTGAGAATCCTTCCTCTTAGCGATTGTCGACTGTATGAAAAATATGTTTAAAGTTGTTTTTCGAAATGAATATAAAATGCAGCTCTTTGAGTTGAACTCAAGTCGCCATTATCGGACAGGAATTATTCCCAGCTGGCCCCCTAGCATATAATAGTTTGAGTAATTTGATGATTAAGTTTTTCAATAATGTGTGTGCCGAAACTATTCTAATGCAAAAAATTTAAATTATCCTCTTCGGGCCCCAAAGTTTCGTTTTTCGGAAAAAAAAGTGCACTTTACACCTGATTTTAAGTAAGGCGGTAATTATAGAGCCCACCTGTGGAATGCACCACGTCCATTTACGCCGTTCCACCTCACAGAGCTTAAAGTAACGTTTTTTATTGTTGATTTTATAGCGCAATGAGACAGCAATAAAATGACGAGTGACAGGTGAGTTTCCGAATACAAGACATCTCATGGAAGGGTCGGGCAATGGTCAATTGCTCTTGATGGGACAGGTGAAAAAAAGATACGGAGCTTGGTATAAGGATTTTAGACGTATCTCAGTTGCAGGTCCCAGAAATGTGAAACATAAACTGTGTTGAAGTTTCTCAGGAGTCGTTATCTATTGTCTCTCGATGAGTATTCCACAAACCAAGTTAACATCATCAAAAGATGATGCTGACTGTCACCTTCTGATGAAGATAATTGGTTAGCGAAACAAGTGTCAAGGGACAGCTCTTATGTGAGAAAATTATTTGCAATGGAAGGTTTCAAAGAAATGACTCCTAACTTTCGATATTGAAAGTTCAAAATCCCAGTGATACCTCAAAATGTTAGGTCATCAGAAGTCATCAGCAGTCATTTTACTGTCTACAGGAAAACCCAATGATCTTCAGGAAATCTTAAATCGAAATAGTATAAACTACCATTTGTATTGGTTTTTACTGTACATATGGTACTCTACTGTGAAGTTTTTCAGATGTATCGTTTCAAGGATATCAACACAACTTCCCAATTAATGATTATCTTACAATATAGTTTAGTTCAATGAGCCTCTGATGTTTACTTTCGACGAACAAAGACATGGCATCGTGAGCTGACGCCATGACAGTGGCGAGCTTTTTGGCGCTAATTTTAAACTTCAAATTGAAATAACAGTTATTGTCTAGCAAACCTGCCTAATGTTATCCTTCTCGACCACCAGAGCAAAACGCTATTTGTCGTGGAGTTTTCAGCTCCTGGCGAGACGAATATCGTCAGAAAAGAGGAGGAAAAACGGATGAAATATGGAGGTTTTCTCTTCGAACTCCGCAGACTCTATCCAGATCACTCTGTCAAGATGGTTGTTCTGATTATTGGAGTCCTTGGTGAAATGATGTCCTCTCTACTCTCGATTCCTAAAACCATACCGGCTTGCCGCACTAAGGCAGATATCTTAGCCGCACAGTTTTCATTATTGGCTCACTGTGCTTGCTCAGGGCACATGATTCTCGTACCCAATGATCACTTACCCCACGGTGTGGGAAGTGGTCATTGGTTGATAATGCTGGCGCGCCCTCCCGAATGTATCGGGGCTTCGGGGGATAGGGCCTGACCAGCGCACACTACGGTGGAAAAAAATAATAATAGTAATAATATTCCTTCATTTTATCATTTGAATGCATAAAGGTTACATAAATATTTGAAAACGTCAAATTTCACTTACATCGTTACATTAAATATATAGTTTAAAAATAAAAAACTATCATCATAAAAATAAATCGTTTATGGAATAACAACACTCACGAAGTAGGATCTTTTTCAGTCTTGATTTAAAAATATGAACATTGGGGGATGATTTTATATGCTCATCAACAATATTATAGAGCTTACAACCAATACAATAAACATTTTTTTGATACAGAGATGTGCGATGAAAATCAGGCTGCAAGAGATTTCTATGATGGGTGTTATATAGCAATGATTGTTATCTATTGCAAACTTATTTTTATTCTCATAGATATAAGTGCAAGATTCCAGTATATATAAACTGTAAACTATCAATACACCAAGAGATATAAAGTATTGACGACAACTGGTTCTCATATCAATACTTTCCATAATTCGAATTGCGTATTTTTGAAGAATGAAAATCCGATTCAAACTGGCACTGTTTCCCCAATTCAGTATAGCATACTTCATGTGGGAGTAAAAATGTGCAAAGAATAGCATAAGCGAGACATTTTTGCTGCAGTGATCTTTCATATACTTTATGCTGTAGCAACTACTTCTCAGTTTATCAAACAATAGTTGTATATGACTTGCCATTGCATATGTTTGACGAAAATTACTCCCAAAAAAATACTGTGACTGTTTTGTTATGATTCAGTAACAGACAATTCTTTTCAGACCAACGAATGATATCTTCATAAATCCTCTCAGTTTTACTTAGTAGCATGTCTATATTTTTTTCAAAAATTAGTAAATTGGTATCGTCTGCATAACACACCATTTCTATATCGTGGTTTCTTTCCATTAGAGGGTTGAAGACAATATGGCTCCCTAGAAAACACCAGCGTTGATGGTAAACGTATTTGAGAGATATCCATTGGTGGCCACTTGCTGAAAACGATCTTTCAGGAAGCTGAAGCC